GTCTAAGGGGCCCATGGGTGGGGACAGCTCAGACAGGAACGGGAAAACAGCCCCATTAATTTACCAAACAAAGATCTGACATTCATCAGCACTACAGTCTGATTACTTTTAATGCAAAAATAGTCTGAAGAAACTTAAAAATAATTTATAAGATCATCGTCAATTGTTTTCCGTAAAAAAAAAATTGTTTCCCCAGATGTATGCAATCCTATTCAAATATATAACTCAACCATAATGTTATCCCTTCTTCTATTTGTAATTTACTAAAGACAATATGATTTGGCAGAGAAATAAAGTAGATCTTATAAAAATTAGTGTAATTTTCAAAACCTTCATGTAAGGCACCTAAATCAATTAGAGGGAAAAGAGTTACACAAACCTTATTTATCACACATTAGTGACCAAGTGACATGATTTCTGTCAATAGCAGTTTCCTAGTTACAGTACATTTTTCTTCTTCCATGTTTGTCAGCTGAATCTTCCTGGTCTTTATTTGTTAAAGCCTTTCACTGGAGCCCTGGGGGCCTGATAGTTACAAGTTAGGCTGCAGTCTGCAAGGTTAGCACTTCTCAACCACTTGCCAACCCGAGAAAGTGGGGTTTTCTACTCCCATACAGAGTTACAGTCTCAGAAACTCTCGGGGCCCTTCCACCCTATCAGATAAAGTAGCTTTAAGTCGACTGCAACTCGATGGCAATGAGTTTTTGTTTTTCGTAATCACTGGCTTGTTTCTTAACTAGGTATATGCACACGAAAACATTTCAGATTTGCAGGAGAAAGATTAGATTACAGTCTCAAGCACATAAAATTCACCACCACCACCACCTGTCCCGCCATGTTGGTGTGCTGTGGTGGTGACATAGGAGCAGAGGCACGTTGTGTCATCTGCTGGCCCCTTTGCTGCTTCAACTCAGCAGGGTTCTACTTTTCTCTTCCCGATTGTGGTGGCAGCGCCCCAGGGCAGAGAGCTGCCTCACCACCTCACTGGGACTGCTGCTGCCTTTGGTCTTCCCCAGCCCAGAGTGACCCAGGTGACAGGGTCACTAGGCTTCTCGCCCCCAGCCACGGTTCGTCTACAGTCGGGCGGTCACCTGGGCTGCCAGGCTCCGGGTAACTGACGAGGAAGAGGCATCTGAACATCGTCCCCAAATGTGATGAAAATGAACTGGGAAAGCCCAGAGGGCAGCTTACCTGGGAACCCCGAAGGTCAAAGAGGAATTCTTTGTACAAGGCATCTGATGGTGGCGTGGGAAAATCACAAAGTTTCTCACACGCCAGTTGAAAATGTCATGTTTAAAACAGAAAAACAAAAACAAAATCCCTGCATGTAAGCTTACCAGAGGACCTAAATTAAATAAACCAGAAAATTTTAGTGAGGGTATAAAGATTGGACCAAAACAGCCAAAAAAGGATGTTCTTGGATGACAGGATTAAGTGCTATTAGGATGTCCGTTTTCTCCAAATTATTTTTGGACTTTAAAGGGAATTTGAAAGGATTGAATAAACCAAACCACAACCCAAACCGACTCCACCTGCAGCTCAGAGCGGACCGGATGGCCGGGAGTAGAACAGCTCCCAGGGTTTCCCAGACGGGGTCTGCACAGAAGCAGGCTGCCTCCTCTTTCCATGGTGGGCGACTAGTCATGAGCCCTTGGTTGATGCCCGGGACTTAACCACTGCACCACCAGGGACCCCAAACTGGACAGAGCTGGATTGTTCCTCATCCTTACGGTTTATCTGATGGCAGTCTATCAAGATTTCAAACCCCACATATATTTTCTTTAAAATTTAGCTAAAGTACCTATCAGAAAGGTATATCAGGGTTCCCTGACCCAGAATTAACCACCTTCCCCAGCCCCTACTCAGTGCTTTCTCCCGCTGTCTCACTCCTGCGGCACCTCATAGTCTTCCTCATAAGTGAGCGCATTATAGTCGGTGTTCTCATCCTCCACACTCTGATTAGCTAGTAAATGACCCAAGGAAGCAACCTGGGGATAGACCCAGCATCTGGATGGTGCTTTGCATCCAGCTTGACGTGAGTGCCTGGTGGCAGAAGCAGTGACCCTCAGCTGCTGACCTGGAGGCAGCTTGAGCCCAACCCGAAAGCCTTGGCCATGGACTCTGGAATAGTCCACCGCCAAGCCCTGCTGAACTCTTCCTCCGACGGGCTCAACCTGAGCGGGAGCGCCAGCATCAGGCTTGGCTGTGCGCATGTGCGTGCGTGCGTGCAGTGCTACAATATTTATCAGTAATGTTTGATCTTGTGGGTCTCATTAACACTGAGCGTGAGTCATACATATTTAACCCCCATCCCACTCACATCCTAATTAGACTTGAGTTCTTGTTTCTTTGTTTCCTAATTCGCCAAGAATTCTTGTGAATGGCTGTCACAAGTTGCTCTGACTAGGAGAACATCTCCAGGCCCAACCGCCCCCCCTGTGCAGGGTTGGCTGCAGGAACAGCACGAGATGGGCTCGGCTAGGACTGTCCTGGGTTGGAGGCCAGTCAGGTAAGGTTGTTTCCTACAAGAGCGCAATATGTGAGAAGCCGCGACACAGAGCCGAATCTCTTAACAGTATGGCCCCACGGGGGTCTGTCCCCATCAGTGGCATAGACACTGTCATTGTGTTGGCTGGTAGGGAAGGTTTGGAGCGTAAGGAAGGCCAGATACAGAGAGTCTCTCAACTAGCTAAATAGATGGAATCATCAGCTCAGTGGATTAGTCATTGCAGGTTCTCTGCCCACTAGTCTTTGCCCTAGATTCACTGTCTCTAATTTCTCCTGAGTCCCTCAAGTTTATCTTTCACTCTGTCAAAACTGCTCTTATCGTGAGCCCTGGGATTAATAAACCTATAGGAACAGCAAGTAGAATAAGGGTTTCAGGAGGGGGTGGTGGTGATGAGGCAGGGCAGATAAAAGGGAGATGATGTCAGGGAGTCCAGGAAGAAAAAGAAATTTTGTAAACTGTGGTAGCAACTGCTTAATGTGATTGAACTGTGGAATGATATGGTATATGTATTAACTCCCAATTAATACTTAATTAAAATAAATATATATTTTTAAAACTGCTCTTGTCAAAGCCAACAACTCAAGAATGGAAGCTCGTGGTTGTCGAGTCAGTCCTGATCCATGACCCTGCATACTGCATACCCTGTATGGTACTGCTAGTCCACGAGGCTTCTCGTTTGTGAGCTGTATGGAAGGACGCCCTGGTAAGCATCGGACTGCTGCCCACAACAGTAGTGGTTCAAACTCACAACCCTTGTGATGGAGAAAGATGAGTCTGTCTGCTCCAGTGAGGACAGACAGCCTTTGGAACCCTATAGATAGAGGTTCGCCATGAGCTGGCATACTCAATGGCAGGGGGCTTGATGTGGAGTTTTTCCAATGACCTTGAAGGAAGAAGTCTCCGGTCCGTCTCTTCGTCCACAACAGTGCTCAGCAGGTTTAAATGGTTAATCTTTCGGTGAGTCGTCAAGACAGACTGCTTGTGCTCCCAAGGGACCTCCACCATCACCAGCAGCCACCAGCTGATAAATGCCAACGTCACTTCTCAGGTCTCCCCTCCCTGGTCCTGCAGCATGTGAACCAGCTTCCATCCTCCTTGCTCCCAGAGACTTCCTCCGGTCCCCCGGGACACTTCACTCTCGCTTTGCCTCCTACCTCACTTTCAACACAGTTTCTTGGCGACTAATGGAAACCACGCATTGCAGCACTGCACACAGTGCAGAGCAGTCAGTACTGCTCTAGGAAGGCTAGGTTTCATGATTCTTGCTGACCTTTGTTTTCTGGAAGGTTCCAAGGAGATCCGATTAGTAAGATTAAGCAATAAACTCCTTTTCATGAAAACAAACAAACCAAAAAACCTTGAGTTTATTCCTCAGCACCCACGATTTCCATGCTCAAGATTTCAACTCAGTCGGTTGCAAAAAAGGAAATGTCTTGTGTTGCTAGTAGCTCAGCTTCTGAAAGAGAATAACGTTATCCAGCGAACATCCAAATAAGAACAAAGGGGCTAAAGAACACAGTGGGAACTGGAATCACCGGTCTTCTCTAGCCTGATGGAGAACAATTTCAGCTCATCAGAAAGCGGCCCAGAACGCGTTTTGAATACACGGTTGTTGGGATGGGCACAAGGCAAGGGCACAGCCGAGTGCAGCACTGGCTCCACAGCTCTGAGGATCTGTGGGGACAGGTAGGGTGTTTCCACAGCAGCGCTGCCAGATGACCTCAGACTGTTAACTTGGAACCCCACTAAGCCTATCGTCCAACCGATTCTTAAATAGGAGGAAAACTGTCAAATCTCCAACAGCAGTGTCTGAGGTGTCAGCAGTATTCAACAGACCCGTTAGTATCTGAGGTACCCCAAGGCTGTACCCCAAAGAATCAAGTAGATAATATGGATTTCTCTAATATGTTCAGGAAAATCATGGCACTGTATAAGTGGAAAAATGTTTTCAGAACATACAACTTGTGCAGTTAATGTACCCACTTTGCTGGGATATACAATAAGCTGTAGTATTTGAGTAGATATTGCAAAAAAGGTCCATGTGATTTTATTTTAATGTTCTCTGGAAGATCACATTTGTTATTTATTTATCCTTATCTGTTGTGTTATGCATATTTACATAAATGGTATTCCAGGTGCTGGGTAATGAGAACAATAGTGAGTTATTTTTATTACTAACCTCTTTGCCAAATTGCTTTTACCCTTTAGCACACAAGAGCTAGATAATAATTATCTTGGAGTGTTTTAAGAGGTAGATATATGAAATTATCAGGAATTAACTTGTGAAATTTATTAGCTTTTCTTTTCATCAAGTGATATATTATTGGTAGTCTTCGAAGGGCATACATAATGCGAAATTTTACATATCATTTTACAAGCGAAGGTTGCTTAGTGAAAGTAAAATCCCACTAATATCAATTATGGAAATCTTTAGCTGACCTAGGTATAATTCATATCCTAATTTGTTTTTGTTTTTTCCTCTTTTTTGTAGGAAGTCCTGGTTGAGCAAGGTGGGAAGTCCTAGTTCTCGCATCGACCGCACCGCCTTTTCCAACGAGAAGGCCATCGCTAAGCTGGAATACACGAGCTTCAGTGTTCGATACTAACAGCAAAAAAGTAGACATTGTAGTGCTTCCATGATGCACATATTCTTACATGTGTGAATACTAGCATTAACATCAAGTAGTGTTAAAAGGGTAAGTTTATTCTGAAAGCTTCATTATTATTCATGTTAATAAAAGTATCTGACACTGAAATAATTTTACTGAATTATATTGTTAAGCCAGTAAAACCTTTGCAATCTAAAATAAGAAAACAGCTTTAGAGAATACCTAAACCTATCTCATAGAGACTCAGTTTCAGTGCACATTACAGTCTATATGCTATTTGGCTGATATCAGATAATAGTCACCTAGAAAATAATTCTCAAGTCCTGCATCTGAATTAATTGCTAAATCTTCCTGAATAATAATTTGAGGAATTTATGATTAATGTTGAGTGATTTATTATTACAGTATTTTTTAAAAATCGGCAGTCAAAATAAAGGTATGTGAAGATAGATATAACCATAAAATAATATCAATGAAGTGTTATATTGGCATTTCCGGTTAGATGTGGACATGACTTTCCATACTTGGGTCGGAGTTACTTGATACTTCCTGTGAACTTTATTGCTCTGGGGAGTGAACATCCACGCTGCGTGGGGCCATGTGATTTCAAGATGGCATACAGCATGACTTTGTAATCAACCACCATCTCACCTGGAAGGAACCGAGAGTCCAAAGTGAGTCAGAATATTTTCTTCACATGTAAACGATAATTGAGCGTTTGTGGAGAAGGCTGACCCCATAGCGAAGAGTCACACCCCCCAGAGGAACCAAACCAGACCCACTGTCGTGATGTCTCTGAGGACCGTGGGAACCCTGTAGGGCACAGGAGCACTGCCTCTGCGCGTTTCTGCGAGGGGTTTGTGGCAGCAAAGGCTGATACTTTCAACTGCTGGCCTTGTGGATCACAGCCTAGGCCTAACCACTCTGCCCCCAGGGCTCTTACCAAAAGAGAAAGTGTTTCATTTTAAATATTGGAGAATCTCAACTACTGTAAGCCTGCATGTTGGCTCTGTGGATGAGGTGTTGGCTGCTCAATGTAAAGTCAGCAGTTCAAACCCAGCACCCACTCTGCAGTAGAAACCTGAGACTGCTCCCTACAAGACACTCTGGGAAACCTTATGGAGCAGTTCTAGTCTGTGGCAGTGAGTAAGAAGAATTAATACTAAATTCGGTGCATATTAATGAGGACTGAGAACATGGCTTATAGATGCTTAATCAGGAAGTTGACTTATAGTGGATCATAGGTAAACCTATAGGCAGTGTTTACCATTAATTCTGAATTGCGTTATCTACCTTAGTTAACAAAATGGAAGAGACAATGGGAGGCAGCCAAAGAAGAAACAGCCCTTCTTCTCTCCTGCCCAGTCCAGCTCCTGCCCTGTCTGCACTTTCTGCACTGACTGGGCCCCTGAGCTACAGCACTCAGGGAGGGAAGCCTGCAGGCGGCTGCACTTCCGTTTGTTATGTAAAGGCAGAGACTGTGTAACAACACCCGGTCCCCTTGTGGCTTTGCTACTCAAATCCCATTGATTTGTCTGGAAAGACCCAAAGTTTGCAAACATGAACTGAGAGCAGTCCTAGACTAATAATGTTTTCAGACATCAGGAATACATACCGTTTATCTAAAGATGTTATCTCTTGAAGAAAATACCTTTACCCTAGGATTCAGAGATTCGTCAAAACTTACTCTCCTAGAAAAGAGAGAAACTGAGTTTCTGAAAGTTTTAAGAATAACAAAGGGTAGGGATAAATCAACCAAGGGACACGGAATACATCAGAAATTGATATTCTTGGGCTCAGATGTCTTAGTTAACTAGCGCTGCTATAATAGAAATAGACCACAAGTGGGTGCCTTTAATGAACAGAGATGTGGGAAGCTACAAGTCTGAAGTCAAGCTCCTGTTTAAGGGAAATGCTTTCTCTCTCTGTCATCTCTGAAGAAAGATCAGTATCTAGTTGAACTTCTGCTCTTGAACAATCTTCGTGAACTAGCATCTCTCTTCCTGCATCTCAGAAGAGATTGACTTGAAAGATATCCTACACTGATCTGATTTTATTAGCATAACAGACGAAGCCCACGGGCACAGGGGCTCTGGTTTCTAATATTTATTTACAAATATAGTATTCTATAATACAGAATATAAAATAGCTGTGCTTAGTTTAAACAGCTAACATATAAGTTTAAAATGTGTT